GAATAGTTGGTGGCTTGTTTGCCAAAAAGCACAGCTGTACTTGCCTTGTGGTTTAACCAGTAACATCCCCAGAGTTTGGTTTCCTGAAAGAAACTGAAAATGGGTGGAAAGATGTGGAGGAGGGTACTATACCTTCAACAAACCAGATCTTTATATGGTGTGCTAATGATGAAGATGGAGTAACATAACCAAGGCTAACACAATACTTTTTGCTTGCTGAGGCACAGAACAAAATGGCACAGACACACCCTTTCCACCTATAGAAACTGGCCAGACTGGCAAAGAGATGGTGACATTCACCCCCACCTGAGGGCAGCAGGATAGCTTCCTGTGTTCAGGAAAGCCACACGACACTCGCCCCTTTTCCTTCCCTGGTTTGCCACATTCTGGCTCTTAGCATCTGCTGCCAGAGGTGCTTACCTCAATCTTTCTAATGGTTGGGGCTGGCTCTAAATCCCATTGGAAAACTACACCATATAGTAGAGATCAAAAGAAGTTATGGTTTGCTTTTCCACTTTCAGAATCCACCAACCTTAAAAATAATGTCCTTTTTTGAAACTCAAATACTGTGCAGGTTGTTTAAAAATAATGAACCTAATTTTAAAGCAGTATATTTCATGATGCCAACACATTAGTTACACCAAAGGTTATTGAACGCCCAGTGAGGCAATGGGTTAAATTCTTGTGGCAGCAGGACTGAAGACTGACAGATCGCAGGTTCGAATCTGGGGGGAGTGAGGATGAGCTCCCTCTGTCAGCTCTAGCTCCCCATGTGGGGACATGAGAGAAGCCTCCAACAAGGATGGTAAAATATCAAAACATCCCAGCATCCTTGTAGACGGCCAATTTTCTCACAAAAGAAGCGACTTGCAGTTTCTCAAGTTGCTCCTGATCGGGGGGAAAAAAAACACCAAAAGATACTACTGATTTAATGAGTTATCAGGTTATCAATGTAAAGAATAACTCTGCAAGTGGAGAACAGTTCATTATGCCCTGTATTGTGGTGTTGCCATCTTGTGAATGACTGAGGCTAGGGACTGTTTGTGTGCTGGGAGAGGCACTTAGCGATAATCATCTGAAACTCTGTGTCCCACTCTTTCAAGGGGTAAGAGTTTCATTCATGAGTGGTTTATGGTTGCAGAGGTGTAGTGATTTCAAATCAGGCCCATCTTCTCACAATGCTATTGGGGCTTTAGGGAATTTTCACTACACATACACACACACACACACACACACACACACACGTGGTGGTGGTGGTGGTGGTGGAGGAGGAGGAGAAGGAGGAGGAGGAGGAGCTTTCCATAGTTGCCTATACCTAGTTTATAGGAACTGTAATCTGAAAAGTAACTTTACCCCAACACTAATGTGTAGAGTCTCAAGTTCATGTTATGGCATCTGTAGAAGCTTCCCTGGTCTAAACATATGGAGAGTGGCTACCTGGAAGTAGACAGTGCTAAATTGGACAGACCAATTTATGTTTAATCCCTTGAAAGCTGGGCCCTTTGGGCACCCTAAGATCAACAGGGTGTGCACACATACTTCTTGTGAAGACAGCACAAGTTATCCAAGGAAGGGAAAAACTGGTTGTGTTCTGAGAGTAGTTTTGGGTGTGCACCAATTGCCCATAGTTTTGGGTATGTGCAAAGCTCCTTATAGCTAATTGTTTGTGGTGTTTTTGAATGTGTGCTTCCAGACATCAAAGGTGTAGGGAAGAATCAGTTTCACCATAGAAAGCATACATCCAATACCAACCTCAACTGAAATTAGTTACCCTCTTGGAAAGAGGTTGTGGAGAACATCAGTAGGTGGCACTCTTGCTAACACAAGTGTTTCACAAATCTAAGGCTCTATGCATTCATCGGTCATGCTCCACAAGCGAGGAAACTGGGACTAGGTGGAGTATTCAGCATTGTGAAATTTTCAGCTTCCACTGAATGTTTCCAGCCCTTATGACTATGGCAATATAGATAAAGAAATTAGCAGGGCAAAGTTACGTACAGTGGAAGGAAGTGAAGTAGGTCAGCTGATACACGTATAGCCATCTGCCTCTTGACATAATCACCTAAAGTAGAATAGCAGGAACATAGCAAACATGCCTACAAAAATTATTTATTTCCATGAGCTAGAGAGTGAATTCAGGTTTCTTGATTCAGAATGCCTGTGTGTACTTTAAGCAGGGAGTAACTACATCCTTGACCGAAGGCACCTAGGGTAATTGATTATCTGTGGCTATTAATTAGAGTTGCCAGTCTTCCAGGTCTGGTGCCTCTTTTGTATTCATCAAGTTAAAGAGGAGGAATTTCAGGGTGAAAGCATTGTCTTGAAATATTCATAGGTGTATTTTCCTTATTTCTTAAACTTATTCTTGGTACTTAATGTATCATTCTTATTAATATCACCACTAACATCATTTAGTAATATCTCCCTATTAACACCACCAGTTCCTTGTTTTTATGCCATTACAAGACGTTCCTAAGTTTTCAGATTCTGTGCTAAAATCTCAAGGTATAAAATACTCCTGACCTGGCAATCCTAGGATGAATTTAGTCTTGAAAGTGTACATTACTGGCAAAAATGGATAAAATTTCAGGTAGCATGAGAAGAATTTAACAAGATTTACATCTGGTGGTGCAGTGAGTTAAACTGCTGAGCTGCAGAAATTGCTGACTGAAAAGTTGGCAGTTCAAATCCGGGGAGCGGGGTGAGCTCCTGCTTTGAGCCCCCGCTTCTGCCCACCTAGCAGTTCGAAAACATGCAAATGTGAGTAGATCAATAGGTACCTCCTTAGCTGAAAGGTACTGGCACTCCGTGCAGTAAGAAACTTATAACTATATCTTAGTATCATATTGAGAAGACACTCCCCTTCTTATGTCTAAGAATGGATTTCAGAAATGAGGGTCACTGATATGGAGATTGTGACTGTTTTACTACCTTTGGAGCCAGAAATGAACCTGTATTGTTTGGCTAGCCATTATGTGGCTCTTCCTGCCTGGTGTCTGTGTGACTTACTTGACTGAATCACTTGGGATACAGTTGGCCCTTCTCAATGTAGAACTAATGCAGTTTGATACCACTTTTACCGCCATAGTCCCATGGTATGGAATCACTGGAGCTATAGTTTTACAAGGTCTTTAGACCTTTTTGCCAAAAAAAATGCTGGTGCCTCAACAAACTACACATCCCAGGAGCCTATAGCACTGGTGTTCATTCAGTCGCTTCTGATTCTTCGTGACCTCATGGACCAGCCCATGACGCCACCTCCAGCTCCTTCAAGGTCAAGCCATTCACTTCAAGGATAACATTCATCCATTTTGCCCTTGATCGGCCCCTCTTCCTTTTTCCTTCCTTTTCCCCCATCATCATTATCTTCTCCAAGCTTTTCTGTCTTCTCATTATGTGGCCAAAGTACTTCATTTTTGCCTCTAATACACTTCCCTCCAGTGAGCAGTCGGGCTTTATTTCCTGGAGTATGGACTGGTTTGATCTTTTTCATGGTCCAATGAACTCTCAGAATTTTCTTCTAGTTCAAAAGCATCTATCTTCACTCTGCCTTCTTTATGGTTAGCTCTCACATCCATAGGTTACTACAGGGATTACCATTGTTTTAACTATGAGGATCTTTGTTGCCAGTATGATGTCTCTACTCTTCACCATTTTTTCAAGATTGGTCATTGCTCTCCTCCCAAGAAGTAAACGTCTTCTGATTTCTTGGCTGCAGTCTGTGTTTGCAGTAATCTTCACACCTAGAAATACAAAGTCTGCCACTGACTCCACATTTTCTCCCTCTATTTGCCAGTTATCAATTAGCCTGGTTGCCATGTTGTTGTTGTTGTTATTGTTTATTTGTTCAGTTGCTTCCGACTCTTCGTGACTTCATGTACCAGCCCATGCCAGAGCTCCCTGTCAGTTGTCGCCACTGCCAGCTCCTTCAGTGTCAAGCCAGTCACTTCAAGGATACCATCCATCCATCTTGCCCTTGGTCGGCTCCTCTTCCTTTTTCCTTCCATGTTTCTCAGCATCATTGTCTTCTCTAAGCTTTCTTGTCTTCTCAGTATGTGGCCAAAGTATCATAAACTTGGGGTTTTTTAATGTTTAACTGCAACCTGGCTTTTGTACTTCCTTTTTTCACCTTGGTTAGAAGGCTCCTCAGCTCCTCCTTGCATTAAGCCATCAAAGTGGTATCATCTGTATATTTAAGGTTGTTATTGTTTCTACCAGAAATTTTAACTCCAACCTTGGATTCGTCAAGCCCTACACATCACATGATGTGTTCTGCATACAAGTTGAATAGGTTGGGTGAGAGTGTACAACCCTGCTGTATTCCTGTCCAAACTGCATTAATTCTACAATTTCGATGTACCCCTTAGCCAAATTAGGACAGTTGGAAGAAAGTCTGAGGATCAGACCTGGTTAGTACATACTTAGATGGGGAGCTTCTGAGAAATACACAGTGTTGTAGAGGAATGGTGAGGAATCACCTTTGAGTATTTCTTGCTTAAGAAAAGTGGTTCTGATTAGGTTCTCAGGTGGCTTGGTATCCATATAAAGGATCAGACACCACGTTTGTCTCGTAGATGATGACTTGCACCAAAACTCCCGAGTGAAACTGTTTTCTATTCAGCCCTTCAGGAGAAAGGATAAAAACATGAGTGAATTGAGACTTGAAGGAGGAGGAAGAGAAGGAAGTATCTTTTGTCTCTAATTATCCTGTGTTTGTGCATCTGACAGAAGGAACCCTTCTAATGACTATGCTTGCCACTGGTGCAAGTCGAGATGTCTGCCTGCCTGCCTGCCTGCCTGTTTCTCCACTTGCCAGCCACTTACTTATTAATTCCCTGGTGTGTGTGTTTCTCTGTATGCATGCTGTCTTATCCAGGAGGCCCTCTGCCAAGACACTTGTCCATGCCTGGAAGGGTTAAACTCAGCAGGTAGTGGGTGGTGCTGAGAGGTGGGGCTGGGATCTATCCCTGGCTCCTTCCCTGCTGTCAGGGCTTGAACCAGTCACTCCTAGAGTAGCTCTTCTTGCAAATACTTGCCTAACTTGCCTCTGACACACTCCCTCTCTTAGTGCTCCGCCGGGCACTGCCTTCCCATCATCGGATTCTGGATTTAGCCTTTGGAGCCTTGGACAAAAGTTGCCTAACAAGCCAATGTGGAAACATCTACTGGAGGATCGCTGCTCTCATCAGCAACGCTAAACAAGTAAGTAACTACATTTCTTCCTCTTTTGGCTACCTCCTCTATTTCAACTCCAATAGATGCTCAAGTCACAGTTGCGGCGGTAAGAGTGCTACATCAACACATCCAAAATTTAGTGATCATCTCTGCCATAGGTGACAGATGAAGCGTGTGAGTGCATGTGTCCGTATATTTTAAAAATAGTCATTCCCATCCCTCCGCGAGGAAATGGAAATGATTTGTTATTGTATTATTATAAGTCTTCCCAGGCAATTTAAACATCACACTTGACTATCCACACTTCATCCCATAATTCTGTGTTACGAAAGTTCGCTCTCCTGTGGACCATCCAAAGTGACACGTTTCTTAGCTGTGTTTCTAAAAAATGTATTCAAAGCAACATACAAACAAAATCAAGGCTGCATTCATATACAATCTTGTTTAGAAATAGATTCCAGTAAACTGTGCAAAACACCATCCTACACAGGATCAGACTGTGGAAAAGAAAACAATGATTGGGCTTGAATGGTCAATGAACAGAGGAAAAGCGGGTTTAGTATTATTAAATATTATTAAATATTATTAAGAAACTGATACTATATCATCACATTTGTCAGATTTCAAATTTTGTTGTACAAAAGTGGATAGAATTTATTGTCAAAGGCTTTATTGTGGATACAATTTGTAGCACAGCCCCATATCTGTCTTCATGTGTGTTTTTAATTGATAGTTCATGTTGTATTGTAATAAGTTGCTGTTCCTTGCCACAATTCATGGGGACAGGCAGGTAAGAAATTACTATTATTACTACTACTACACAGAATTATGCCATTTAATTCAGTGGAACTTTGTCCCAGGAAAGAATAGATAGCATTATAGCTGCACTTGCTTATTTATTTAACATTGATAGAAAAATTCCCAAGTTGTTCCATGTGTGCGTATTTCTGAAGTGAATATCAAATAGTAATATTATAGGTTATTGTAATATGTATGGAAGACTTGTATTGTTTTTAAAATGTTGTGAGCCACTTTGGGTCCCATTTAGGGAGAAAAGCGGTATACAAATAAATAATTAATAATAATAATAATAATAATAATAATAATAATTAGAAGCACAAGATTAGTACACAGAAAACAAGATCACTATGCTGGCTGTTCTATTGGATCACACGTCGGACACTTCCCAAATATCTAGGACTCTGTGATGTATCAGCAAATAATGAGTGCAGATCCCAGTAGGGTGGCCTTTTGCAGCTGAAAGATGGTAATTTTGTCAGTGCCGATTGTGTTTAAGTGCAGACCAAGGTCTTTAGGCACTGCACCCAGTGTACCGATCACCACTGGGACCACCTTTACTGGCTTGTGCCGGAGTCTTTGAAGTTCGATCTTTAAATCCTCATATCGTGTCAGCTTTTCTAGTTGTTTCTCTTCAATCCTGCTGGGATTGCAACATCAACGATCCACACTCTGTTTTTTAACACGATCATGAGGTCAGGATTATTATTATTATTATTATTATTATTATTATTATTATTATTATCATGTCTACAATTATGCAGCCACACAGTTATCAATCAGATCATGTAGAAAGCTGGGTGGTTGTGGGTGTGTTTTCTTTCTTTCTTTTAAGAAAAAGGGATCTTATTTCAAAAGTTAGATTTCTCGAAAGGTGTGGGTGGTACTGAAGTTAGTTTGATCTGGATATCAAAAGATTATAGTGCTTGCATTTTGAAACCAATCCCATTTAAAGATTATTGCTCGTATGGAAAAGCAGGAATAACTCAACTGGATGTTTTCCTGAAAAATAAAGCAAAAATTATAGCCTTTGGGGAGAAATAATTGCAAAAAATCAGTTTAGAGGTTTTTTTAAAAAATAAAAAAGATCAGAAATGAACTTAGGGATGTCTCACTGAAGTTAACTAGTTTGACAGAATTAAAAGAAAACAACAACCAACATTTAAAATTAATTTTGAATTATAATGTTAAAAAAAACAAGGCCTGTCTTGATGTCATTTCTTGGCATCATAAATGTGTAGCAGATGAGGTAATTGTATTTTATTATAGCAAAATTAGTGGGAAATCCTTGTCACCTTAAGGCGAATCATAATGCAATCTAAAGATAAATGATTTGGCAGTGACTTTCTCCTAAATGATCAGTCTTTTGTTCAGAGAAAATGATGCCAAGCTGCAGGTGGTTTGCTTCCATTAGGTTAAGCATGGCGACATTCTCTGATGCACCAAACAAAATTAGGCCGGTTCTTCAATTTTGGGGATGTGGAGTATGGAAACAAGTTTCTGAAGATATGTCTGTGGTTGGACGGGGGAGAAATTATCAAACAGTATGATGAAAACATTTCTGTGACGCTCTCGTTCACTTGCTGTAAAACATCAAGATCTCTTCTATGCCGTTTAAAGGTGTACACTTAGGATTTGTCTCCCACCCGCCATAATGTGTGAATGTGACAGAGAGATCTCATTGGTGTGCAAAGAGTGCTCATCAAAGTTCAAGAAATATCTAAGTATGCACACACTGGCAAATCATGATTTGTAGTTGCATATTGTGTGAAAACATGTATCATACAGGTACATGCATCAGAATGTGAAGAAGACTGACATTGAGTTGCTGTGAGTTTTCCAGGCTGTATGGCCATGTTCCAGAAGCATTCTCTCCTGATGTTTCACCCACATCTATGACAAGCATCCTCAGGGGTTGTGAGGTCTGTTGGAAACTAGGCAAGTGAGGTTTATATATCTGGAATGCAACATTTACAACTGTCTCAAACAGACAAGTGTTCTTTCTCCCACTCTGGACCTTACACAGATATATAAACCACACTTGCCTAGTTTCCAACAGACCTTGCAACCTCTGAGGATGCCTGCCATAGATGTGAGCAAAACATCAGGAGATAATGCTTCTGGAACATGGCCATACAGCCCGGAAAGCTCACAGCAACCCAGTGATTCCGACCATAAAAGTCTTTGACAACACAAAGATTGACCTAGGCAAACCCAAGTTTTCTTTTAGGTGCCTTCAAAGTCAGTTCCGACGAATGGCCTCCTCCTTTTAAGATGTAGCAAGATGTATTCAGAGGAAGTTTGCCATTTCCTTCCTTTAGGAGTGCTTTTTTGTCTAAGGTCACCCAGTGGATTGACAAGGATGAGTGGGGATTTAAATTCTAGGATCCAAAAGTCCTGGTCCTACATTGTAGCCTTTATATCACATATGCTCTCTGTTGTATGATCTGTGTTTTCTATGGTATTTCATACAATAGAAAGGGATAAAAATGCATCAAGCCCTTCTATCATAGCTGTCTTTCTATTGCTTTTGAAATTCTTGTTTTAGATCTAATAACACACAAGGATTCCATTCTTTCTTATTGCACACCAGGACTAAAAAAAAGAGGTAGGAATAAGGCTGAGAAATGATGGAAAAGAGATAAATCAGGGAGGTCTTTTTGATCACTGGACTGGGCCAAACCAACTTAAGAACTGACCTTGCAATCTCAGTGAAAGTTGGATCAAGGTGGATCGATCGGGAATCTAAACATTTTGGCAGTGTCCAAAAGTCAAATTAGATCCACACACACAAATATAATCATGAATGACTCTTGGCTTTTGTCTTGACTGTAGGATAAATGTAGGATACAAATAACAACAGCAACAACAGTTGCATTCTTGTGTAAGTCCTGTTTATATCAACTAGCTATGACTATAGGATCTTCCATTAGATTGTGCTCCACGGGGCCAAATCCAGAACTTGAAAATACTAACTTTTTGGATGACAGTTCCCAGAAGTCAACCTATTGCCAATTTGCCATGCATTCTGAGAGCTGTAGTCCCTCAAAAGCTACTTTTTCAATAGTGAGAACTTTCTGTATTTTGTGCTTTAAATGTAAAACCTGAAATTGTTTCTTTATTTTTCTCTTGGGAGCTTGTCCATTTGCATCAAGGAGACAGGGCAGTTGTGTTGCAAATTAAGAGTTGCTTTTCACATTTTAAAACAGGTGTGTGTAATATGCTTCACATGCTTTATGAACATGAGAAATGTACAAGTTCAACAACATATGATACACCAGTATATGAACTGGTGATGATTCAGTGTGATAGTTGCCGAATTATTATATATACCGATTGGCAGAGTTGTTTGTTTGTAATGGGTGAAACACACCAGTTGGATTAATTTTGAAAGCTGGCCTATTGATTTTATTCTTCTCCTCCACTTTATAATTTTAAGGACACTTTATTGCACAGCAGACCACAACACATAGACATGTATTTATTTGTCCAGTGCTGTCATGTGTCTTTGATTTGACCCTGACTTATGGTTTTGGTTTATTTGTTGTTGTTGTTGTTGTTGTTGTTGTTTGGCATGTCAGGAGTGACTTGAAAAACTGCAAGTCGCTTCTGGTGTAAGAGAATTGGCCGTCTGCAAGGACGTTGCCCAGGAGATGCCCAGATGTTTGTGATGTTCTATCATCTTTGTGGGAGTCTTCTCTCATGTCCCCGCATGGGAAGCTGGAGCTGACAGAGGGAGCTCATCCACACTCTCCCTGGATTTGAACCTATAACCTGTCGGACTTTGGTCCTGCTGGCACAAGCTTTTGATGTATGGTGACTCTATACAAGGATTTTCTGAACAAAAGATGTTCAGAAGACTTTTGCCATTGCCTTCTTCTGAAGCTGAGAGCATGTGTCCTGCCCATGGCTGAGCAAGGATGTGAACCTTGGCTTCCTAAAGTCATTGTTTAAGACACAAGCCATTACACCACACTGGCTGTCACGCTACAGTGGCCTTACTCCAAGGTCAGAGCTCAAAAAATACTATATTTTCTACCAATTTCAATAAATGTCATTTACAACATTTAACATGTAAATAATGTATACTTTAATCACTGTAATAACCTTTAAATATTTTATAGAGCACATATGCTTTGTACACTTTGTACATATCCTCTTTTTGAAATGCACACTAAAGCTGATGGAACAATGACTTGCCAAAGGCTCATCTGAATTAGGGACTTCTT